TTTAACAAAAAAACAAGATGAGTAAAATCTGAACAAGAGCAAGATTGCATATACCAGGTACCTTGTGAATGCTGTGAGTCGTATATTGGAGGGATAAAATGTCCTCTAAATATTCGACTGAACGAGCATAGAAACACAAGTGAAGAGGTCAAATAATGAAGTCAGGTATTGTAGAACATGTGTGGTTCCAGCACCACAACATAAAGTGGTCAGAAGCCTAGATTATCCACAACGAACTTCATTGTATCAAGCATAAATTTAAATCTGTTTTTATATCCAACAATAATATCTTTAACAATGCAAGTATGGACATTTCACCAATATGGCGACCACTTATAAAACAAATGCTGTTGTCCTCAGTGGACAACCTCATTCTCGACCACACTCAAATTCTTATACCTCTCTGGCTTAGTACTCTAGGATTTACATAAGATACTAGGATTAAACGTTGTGCAAAATTTCAAAATTAAAAACAATATAGGTTCATTCAGAACCACGCAATTAGTGGAATAAATTAATGGTTTTAATTACACTTTCGTTTACGATCATTCACAATATTTAAAAAAAAACACAATGGGCTCTTTCACTATATTTTGGAATTAGCATAATTGAATAAAGCAATTAATTCTAGAATTTTCTGTTATCTCACTTTCGAAAAATTTGAAGTCGTTCTTAAGAAAATAAATAAAAACAAAAAGCCAAGAATAAAAATCCGCACTTTATTTTTAATACGTCACACCTGACATGTTGCAAAGCGGCGACACGGCCGCGGCCGGGCCACCATGCTGACCCACCACCACCTCCACACAAGGCCATTCAACCTTTTCCAAAATGGCGGAGATAGAAGTGCTTTATTTGGCGCGTATTTTAAAACCTGTTTTATTTCCAAATAGACATTCTTCACACAAATGTCGGGTTAGATTACGTAATATTTCACTAATTTTTTAATATACAGGGAGTCTAAAGTTCTCTACATATGGAATGTAGAGAACTTTAAGTGTAAGCAGTAGCCATAACTGCATCCTCACTAGGGTAACAGAGACTTTGGCCTTTGGCCTTTTCGAGGCATATTTAATGCACTTCTTACCCGAGAACTACTAGTAGGAGTGAAATTATCTCTTTTAATAGCTGTCAACCATTTTTTACGAAGCTCGTCATTTTGGGGAATATAAAAGCAGAAACCTTGAGACCCCCTCTATAACTCCCGTAACAATTTGGAACAGAGCATGTAAAAGGCGTGTTACAATAAAATGTTAAAAAAAACCTTTAATACCTATCTTTAGATTATTGTAAGTAACCATTATAAAGTACTATGCAGACTGGCGTCGAAGGCTTTTTACTCATTTAGGTGTAATATCTTGATAAATACTTCTAGTTCTTACCTTAAAATAATTAATATTAGAGGAGTACGACAAGCACAAAAGGTTGTGAATTTCCCTATGTGGAATGTCTGCTTTGGATTTTTATTACACTGTTATTTATCACAATTTTCTGATCACACCATGCACTGAACACTAAGAACTAAACAAACGTGTTGCAGATGCACAACAAACTAGAGATAATTAATTGTTTCTGGTATGCAATCGGAACGAGAAACCACTACCGGCTTTTTAAAGGTAAACAATTTAATAATGCGCTGCCTTCGCCGCCATATTTGCCATGCCCATATCATGTTAATTGGCCTTGAGTTGAGGTGGTGCTGGTCAAATCAAATCGCAATGTTGCCAGTTGTTGGCTGGCGCACGAGCACGGTTCTGCAATGTGATTGGGCGTATTTTTCATACGTCATCAATTGGCACTTTAAAATTATTTCAAATTAAAGCAATTTTGAGGGCCTATAAAAAAATGATTCAATGTCATGGAACTATTTTTTTTTGGATAAATATACTGAAAATAATTTTCTATTTCAGATTTTGTCCTTGAATTGGGTATTTTATTTTTTGTGAAAGAGCCCATTGAAATTAATAGAATAATCTAGCAAGAGCTTGCGGCAGTCAGTTGTATCCATGGAGAAAGCTTATTATTTAGCTTATAAAACAATCAACTTTTGGTTTTTAACCACAATTTAATAATAATAATAATAATAAATGTCTTTATTCCCAAATGAAAATAGAAATATTACAAAAAAAATATTACAACATAAAAAAAACCACACTGATAAAAAAAATAAATGCTGTAACCAAAAAAAATACAAACAACAGAGGCAGTCACTTCTAAATGAGAAGGAGCGAAATTCAGAGTCTAACTGAGCTCTGCTCTTCCATTTAACTCCTTGATGACATTAAAAAGAAAACAAAAAAAGTATATTCATAATTGAAACGCGATTAAATTAACAAAAAAAAAATTACTGTAGATCAAAAAGCCATTGACGGGCACAAAACCTAAAACGGTTTAAATTTTCAGTAGCTTTTACATAAGCTGGCAATTCGCTCTATACAATTTGGAAATTGTATAGGAAAAAGATGCCTCATACAAAGATGTCTTGTGGAGGGGAATAGTTAGGTTATCCTTCTTGCGTAAATTAATATTATGAGCCTCTTCTCTAAATTGAATTTTTTCAAAAAGGTACTTTGGCTGTTTAAGAGACTGACAATACAGATTATGTAGGTCAAAATTAATACTGCTCAAGGCTTGGTTGAAATTGTCTCTGGAAAATGAAGCATACATCTGTGTGTCATCCGCATATGCATGAGTTTGCGAGTATCGAACAACATCTGCAATGCGAGATGTATAGATAGAAAACATTAGTGGGCTAAGGATAGAACCCTGAGGTACACCACGATTCAGTTCGATACACCCAGATATATCTGCACCCATCCTCACCATTTGCTTTCGATCAGTAAAATAGCTAGCAATCAATTTCAACGCATCACTCGAAAAGCCATAATAACGAAAAACAGACATCAATACATCATAATTTAAGCAATCAAAAGCCTTACTGTAGTCTAGCAAAACAAGAACTGTAACATCTCCCTTATCCAATGCCGTCAGAATATCATCAGATACTTTCAATCAGGCAGTATAATTGAAATTTCTCTTGACGGAAGATAATCAAAGGCTAAAATGACATTTCTCGCAAATTTTGAAGTATAATTAGTGGAAAAGTTAAAAGTTTGATAACTTTTTCTACGAATTGAAAATGTCTACCACTAATTTTGACGGTCTGAATGCTTACATTGAAATTACAAACTTCTACGCTAATTGAAACCACTAATTGCGAAGTTCTGAATGAAGCTTTTTAATACAAAAAGATGTTAATTTATTATTGTCTATCACTTTCAAACAAAAATATGTTATTTACCAAAAAAACTGATGAATATCATTAGCTTTGAAATAAAAAGTATCACGCTTAGTTTAGAATCCTCCGTGACACGGTCCCCATGTCTCAGTTTTGCTGCTAAGGCTAATCTGGGCGGGACCTACATAGTTTACGCGAAATCCAAACCGCAGTCCTCGGCCATATCATGGTCAATGGCCTACCGACTTGGTGAGTGTCTAAATCGACTCTTACTCACGCAATATTCAATCGCATCGGGCTTCGAACCGGAGTGAATGAGCAGTGTGTGTCAATAGATTTTACAGTCTTGTCATGAATGGCACACTTTATTTAGTATGCACATGTAATTCATAGTGATGTTGGTAGCGAATATTTCCATTCGAATTTTGCAGGAAATTTCAGAAATTTCCGAAATATTCGGCCCCAAAATCGCGAATATTCGCAAAAATCCGAATTTTGCAAGAAATTTCTTTTCAGAATTCAAGACATTGAGCAAAAATTTAACGAAAGTGTATCAAGTATGCCTATTCTTAAATCATAAGAAAAAGAATGCTTACAGTGCTCCGCCTTACAAAATAGAAAACGTATGGCTCTTAAAATAATGCATTTTGCCGCGAATCTCTTGGCCCCCTCTGTTTCCTGGGAGAGCACTTTAACAATGAAGAACACATAGCCGCTATGGAATTTATCAACAATATCACCAACAAACATCCTCAGTTTGTCAATAATAAAGAAGCCATTTTTACAGATGTAACAAATTATTGCGCCAAATCGGGTTTATGGGCTCTCGACTACGTTTGGATGTCAGTTAAAAATGTAGACTGTCTAAGTTGGTGGCAAGCAATATGTAAAAATACTCAGTTGAAATATTTAGCTGTTGCTCTGCTGTCTTTACCAACGTCATCTGCAGCCACTGAGAGAAGTTTCAGTACTTACAGTTTTATCCATACTAAAAAAGGAATCGCTTAACTGCACAAAGAGCCGGCAAAATAATGTATGTAGCTCATAACAATAAATTATTACCTACTACAAAAACAAAAAGTGGATATGGAACATGATATGCAACAACATGAAACTCCTCCAGAACCACTAGACTAGAACACGTAGAGGTAGAGGTCCATCCTTCAGAATCAGAACCAGATGATACATCGAATATACCTGATTTGGAAATAAAAACTGACGAAGACAGTACTACTACTACTACTACTACTATAATACCCTATGAAGATGGGACCAGCTCGGCGCCTGAAAGTATTCCGGAATAGAATAATTCAGTTATTTATGTTTTACGTTTTTTAAATTTATATTTCGTGCTTTTTTGTTTTTTTTTAAGTTCATAGTCATAGTTCATGGTTTATGTACAAATTACAAATGTTACCAAATAATTTTTGTTATATGTTATGTTTATGACTTTTAGGAGTTATGTATTGTTTATTAAAAATATAACAACTAATATTATGTTTATTGTTTTTTTTCACTTACATGTTGGTATCAAATGTCTATCTAATTTATTCATTGTATCAACAAAAAATATGTAAAATTGTAATTGTCCTAAAATTTCATAAATTTCCGAATGTTTCCGAAAGTTTCGGAAATTTCCTGCAACAATCAAAAGTTTCCGAAATATTAACATCACTAGTAATTCATACGTTTGACGTTTTTTTAATAGTATTTTGACACATTTATAATTGAAACATTTACTATTTTTTTATCTCTTTTTCAGATTATGATTTGAACTCGTGGATCAAACACTACGACATAGCCAGCTATGATCCTAGTTTATTGGTTCATCAGCATAAGAGGGTGCGAAGATCGCTGGATAGATCGTTGGACCCTGTACGGTTGCAGGTGAAAGGACATGACAGGTAGGTTAGACTGGACCAGTGTTGCCAACTTTCTAAAATAAAATTTCCCACGAAGAGGGCCAAAATTTTCCGTTTTTCTAAAAATTCCCACGAGTTCTCAAATCCGTTGGAATCCAAAGAAGATTTTAGATAAAAAATTACACTTACTAAATACACTTTTAATTTTTTTTCGCTCAAAAATACTAATAGGCGTGTTTCTGCAATCGAAGTATACCATCCCCATACCATTCCTAGAAATATTTGCACTATTTTAAAATTTATCATGTATTCTAAAGGAGGGGGCACAAGAATAATATCTGATGCCAATCGAAAATGTGTATTTAATTACGGTTATGCTAGTTTGAATTTATTCACTTGCTGAGAAATGCGTATACGATATCTATTTTTTTACGGATAATACTCGGAATAATAAATGAATTTAGAGTTTTCCACGAATATGGCGTTTTGGGTTAAAATTTCCCTTTTCCCTCTGGATCCCGAAATTTTGGACTGGATTGTAGTAAAAATTATGTAAACTGGACACTCTGTACCTAAAATCGCATCACAATCCATCGCTTTGTGTTGTATTTCTTCAAAAATAACAACTGTTATTGCTAACAGTTCTAAAATAACAAATATTACTTAAATGTATACAGATAACACTTTTGTTTATCGTTTCTGGATGTTCTTGTCAGTAGAAATCAGGGTTGGAAAAAATCATGATTTTTAAAAAAAAAATCAAAAAAATCAGATTTATTTGATTCAAATCAGATTTTTTTTATTTTAATTCAAAACAATATTTAAATCGGATTTTCAAATGACTAGGACTTATTTCCAATTAAAGTCCTATCCTAAATGGCTAAATTTTTATAACTCTGCCCGTTATCGATAACATTAATAATTCAAAAGTATTAATTTTTGTCATTTTAACGCCTAAGTATAAAAGTAAAGCACTGTTACGCCTAAGCACAAAAGTACAAAAATATATTATTAAACTGATATTAAGTGTCAAATTCAACGAGTGTACAAATTGTTGCTCGATTACTGTTTATATTATTTGGAATGTTTGAAATTGATTAAAAATGATTTGTAATGTTTTAAAAAAATAGTATGTATGTTCTATTAGGAGTAAAATTGTACTTTTTGTGCTTCTTTGTAACGTCGGAATAGCTTTACAATGGTCCTTCAAAGGTACAGTATCATCAAAAAAGTATAAGTTTTACTCCTAATAAAACAATACATTATTGTTCGGACTTACTCTTAAGTCGAGACTGAAATTAGTATTAGTCAAAGTGTAAAATACTTACTGCAGATCAAAATGTCGGTAAAAATTTGGAAAAATACAACCATTTCAAAAAAATATATAAAACAACATATTTCCTGACAACGATTATTATTATAGATTCTGGGGAATGAAGATATAGTCTCTATATTAGAAGAATCTAGTTCTACACTAGACTGCGAATGATATGTATTCGAACAGCGAATTTTTGTCACTTATACATAAATTTTAAAATAAATCCCTGCGTTTAGCGGTCTAATGGATTCACACGAAATTACTTCAAAAATCGGTCCAACATTTAAATTGATGAATAGATATTTTTATATAGTTTTATAACATTTGTAATCGTAAATGTTCGATTTATTATCTGTTATATCTTTTATAGAAATATTTTTTATAGTTTTCTAGGACACATTTTTATAACTTTTACAGTTATTTTTTGTTTTATAATAAAGTTTTAATCACATTTTTTTTTTATTTAAATCAATGATTAAAATTAAAAAAATCACTTGATTTAAATCATGATTTAAATCATTTGATTTAAATCATGCCAACCCTACACACAGATTCAAACATTTTATATCGCCTTGTTTTAATGTTACTGATTTGTTTGAGGAAAGCAATTTTTGTATGTCAATGTTTGTAGTAAAAAAAATTATTCTCCAAGAATATCCGATATAATTTTTTCGGTGTGATCATTTTTGGAATTTCAGGATTATTTATTGATCAGGTGAAGGTTTTTACTGTAACATAATAGAAATAGATATTAATAAAGGGTTGTTTAGTTCTATTTTGACATTATTACAATTCCCCTTGGGTAATATAATGTAGCGAAACTGGTCGCTGGCGCGTCATAAACTCGATCCGCTCGAGATTTCTAATAATAAATTTATTGTTACATTAGGCGGTAAATCGCGTCGGATATATGGACCCGTTGGGGCGGAAGCTCTCAAGCTAAATCATTCGGAAACGCTGCGACCAATCAGTTTCTCTTGAACTGAACTCTTTACCAGAACATTTTTTGAAAAAAAAATATTTAAAGTATTTTTCGAAAAAACATTTTTCTGATTTTTATATACCTCCTATAAAAACAGTGGGAGGTAATCTTTACTTAAACATAACAACAATAATTTCGATATATCTCCGGGAAAAAATATTAACAGGAAGAAAGATACAATAAAATTACGTTAGTAGAAAATCCCCGTCCATTTTTTATTTGGTGGAAAAAGAATACATATTTTCCATTAGGACATTGTGATTCTAAGATTGAAGGAAAAGTATTCTTTCCAATGGAGTATCCGTGGCACGTAAGAATTTGATCGTTCTAATGGCAAATACCAACGAAAACAGAGATTTAGAATTTTCGGTAAGTAAGTATACAGAGAACGTAATTTTGAAAGTCTTGTGTCTATTTTATTTTCTGTAATTTTTAGATTTTTTTTAATACAATTTAGTCAGCCACTACAACAACTCTAAACAACTCTATGCTAAAATTCTAATTTAAATTTATTTTGAGGATATAAATGTTACTTATAGCAATTATGTTGTAAGCAGAGTTTACACTGTGTCACTTTGGATGTACAACCAAAATGAATCACTCAGATTGAATTCATCCAAATTGAACATCCTGGTTTACATATTTTCATCCAGTTCGCAGCAGTTCACTGTTTCATCTTCCGGAGGCTGCCACCTCTCCCAGTGTTTTCTATATCGAGGTTGGCCGCACGGGTCGGCGTCGGCTGTTTATATTTGTCACTTGCTGTTCAATCTTGACGAATCAACGGTTCGTTCAACAAAAGTAGGAAGACCGTCAACTTATTTCATCGTTCAATTTTCGGTAGGTTGACCATGATTTGGCCGAGGACCAGAGTTCGCATTCCGCATAAACATAGTAATCCCCGTCCAGATTAGTCTTCTCAGTAAAAAGGAGACGCTAACTTCCAATACTTTAGTTACTTTACCCTGTGTGTTTGTCTTTGTCTTACTCTACCTATCTCTTACTCTAAAATTACTAACTTATTGGTCTGTACAACTGTCCACGGCCGAAATAATTGAAATTTTCTTAGGGAATTCCCGCGTGTTGCTCTGCCAGATTGACTCTGTCGATAAGAGAAATAATGGAAAACGTCTCATGCTCGTCCGTTTCTTCCATTTCTCAATGAAACCGTACAGTAGCATGGAAGGACTGAAAAGATAATGGAAAAAATCGTCGGACTACCTAGAAAAAAATGTTATCTCTAACCGATTCAGAATAGCGTTTCATTGAAAAAAAAATGAAACCTTCGTTATTCTTTTTTATATGGATGTTCGTATACTGTTATTTGTTTGGTAAGATTTTTTTTTAATTCTATAACCACAGTTGTGTTTTTTTTTGGTATTTATGGTAGTATAACCTAAACAAGTTCGTTCAACAAAGTGAAGAGGTAAAATTTTGACCAACTATACCGGCTGCGTCTCAGAAATGGTTCACCCATATAACTTTTTTATTTTTTTCAGTTAAAAAAACGAGATTTGGTATGTTAGTATATGACATAAATTAAGATTGATTGATGTATTCAGTTGTTTTTGATCACTTTCTGTTTCACCGGAAATTACTACAACTTTTGATTTTTAAATGAAACCTTCGGTATTTTTCTACTTTATTCCATAGAAAATGAGAAAATGACATCCTGAATAGAATGACATATCATATGTCAACTTTTGACATTTTCGCTAAAAAAATCGTATTTTAAATTCCAATATAGTGCCATGGCTGTGTTAAAAATACTAATTTTTAATCAAGGAGCCTTGGAATAATTGATTTGATCGTCTAATGTTTTTCGTACCTTGTCCTGGCCGGTTAAAAGATGATCAAATCGTATTTTTAATCATATATCAATTTTTTCAAATGGAATGAGGGTGGCTCATTAGCATATTTGGAAAAAGCATTTTTTACGAAAAATTTGGTATCACACACTTGATATTTCGAGTTAAATTATCGTTATGATCCGTATGTTACAATTTCAAATAAAACATATGAGAAAATGTCAAAAGTTGACACATGATATGTCATTTTATCTAGAGTGTCATTTTCTATCGAATGAAATAAATAAAAATAATAAAAAATACTGAGGGTACCATTTAAAAATCCAAAGTTGTAGTCATTTCCGGTGAAACAGGAAGTAACCCAAAACAATTGAATACGTCAATAAATCCTAATTTATGTCATATAATAACATACCAAATCTCATTTTTTTTCTCTAAAAAAACATAAAAGGTATAGGGATGAGTCATTTTTGAGACGCATCCGGTATGTTAGAGGTTCTATAGATAAGTGTATCTATTACCTTACAGTCGAAGGTTCCTTTAACATTAGGATGATTTAATCTGAGTCAGTTCACAAAAAACTACGTTACGTAAGAGAATCCGAAGAATATTCATTATTCAATAAGAAACCGTTGTAGAAATCAGTTAATTCTATTAAAATACTTATATTTTCCTCTAAACAATATTATAATTTGAGAGTTACCTTACATCAGAAGTGGGATTTTTTGTCCGAGTTACAACACTCCAAAGATCCATCTCAACTTTTTTCTAAACCATAAGCTGTCCTTGCCACTTTTTATTTCGTATCTCGTGTCGTGTCATGGCCTTGAATTTTTACTTCCAGCGCGCTTAAAGAAGTTTCACTTTAAAAATCTTGCAAAACAAAACTAAATTTATTAATTTACACTAAAATTCATTAAATCTAGACCTGTGTCGAGACTATGTACATTCACAATGAATTAAATTTAAACAAGATTTTTAACTTCGTTTCTTTTTAGTCGTATTCTTTCTCCAAAACCTCTCGCATTTCTAGATTTAATAGTTTCGTTCATTCTTTTGGCAAAAAATCCGATTTACTGCTGTCTGATTCATTAAATCTGCAGGAACTCGGAACGCTGGCTGCCTCTGTTTCATATTTTATGCAGGGATCGATCGTCTACAGGAATCTTTCATTAACAAAACGCTTTGAAAATAAAGGAATAAATAACTAGACGAAGATATCACGTTTTTAAAGTATACAGGGTTGTTCACCACATACGACACAGAGTATTGTAGCTAAACGATTAGATTTTTACAAATTATTGTAAGTTTTGGATTCGTTGAAGGACTATTAGAGCTACAATTTAAAAATATTTTTACAAGATACAGAGTGTCCCAAATAAATAAAAATATTATAGTTGTGATTTTTAAATGGATGTATATGATTCTTTTTTTAGATGTTACGATTGAAATACACTACCCTGTATATGATTCTTTTTTTAGATGTTACGATTGAAATACAGGTAAGGTCTATCACACTTAAACCTTACCGTTTTTGAAATATTTTCAATTTTATGAAATTGCAGTAAAAATTTTAAGGCTTCATTTCTCCATGTTTTGAATACTAAATATTTACTGAAGTTTATTTATTGATCGTATTATATTCTGTTGCAATAATGGACAAAATACTACCCTATACAGAGTGTCTTAATTTATATTAAATAATTACTAGCTTTAAACGGCAATAACTTCTTTAATTTAAATGGTACAACCTGTATATTTTACGAGAATCAGATGCACAATTTAACTGTCTATCAAATTGTATTATACCATTTTTTACCTATCTCTTTAAGTTTTTGTAGAAAATGCATTTTCTTATAATTTAGATCTCACTTATCACTATACCCATGGAATATTGACATTTTAGATTATTTTTAAAGATGTAACAAATTTTAAAAGAGTACATATACTAATATTGTCTAATTACTAGATACTAATAAAAAAAACTGTTTAAATCATTTTTGTTAAAGAGGACTAATTAATATGATCCCAGTATTCAAACTACATTAATTAACTGTTTACGTTGATTAATAATAAATGCTTCAAATATAGTAAGTGTATTAGACAGTGTGGTAAAAAGTAACATCTTATAAATTTTATTTTGTGTTTTGACGAATGCTTATTTATAACAGAGACGTTCATTTTCATAACTTATTATTATATTGATTTATGATTCAAATCCACATTTATTTAGAATAATTGATTAATTAAAACAATTAAGTTAGTAATTAACTCTTTTTTGGTCGGAAATAATGGTGGTATATTTAATTGGCTTTTACAAAGATTTAAATAGTTTTCTTTTTGTAAACAAATGGGCATGCAATATTATTATTACTAATTACTACCTGTACATTTTGTACATATGTTACTTTAAAAAAATCTAAAATGTCAATATTCCATGGGTATAGTGATAAATGAGGTCTAGATTATAAGAAAATGCATTTTCTACGAAAACTTGAAGAGACAGGTAAAAAATGGTATAATTCAGTTTGATAGACAATTAAATTGTGTATCTGATTCACGAAAAATATACAGGGTGTTCTATTTAAATTAAACAAGTTATTGCCGTTTAAAGCTAGTAATTATTTAATATAAATTTTTGGACACTCTGTACCTTATACAGAGTTTTTAACAGGTAAGAGCGAAAGAATCAAGATCTGACAATGAAGTTTTTATCTACAAATTTTTTGATATGGGTGTTTATTATTTATATTGCACACTCCCAGTTATTTACTTAGATTTTTTTAAGTAATTACAATTCTCGGTATAATTAATTGCTGAGACACAAAAAAATAACGGCAAATTGCGGTAGACACAAAAAAATAACGGAAATTATTCGTACAATGAATTACATTTTAAAATTAGTATAATATACAAAACCAATGGATTAGTTCAGCTTTATAAAAAACCTACATTTCTAACTAGTGCATCAAACATAGACACTCATATTATACCATTTCCACCAATAATAATACTTTTTATTTCACAGTCAAATAACATGTTATCTGTACCGCCATATCTCTGGCTCTCTAACAAAACAATGACCTTTTTACTGGTAGTACTATGGTACGTATGGTAACGCAACGTACCATTTATCCACCGACAAAAAGTGAAGGTCTGTGTCGTCGTATTGTATTTAAATTACCATTCCGATGTTTAATATCTGGCATTTTAGATGCAAGCACCATGCTTTTTTAATTATATATTTTTTATTATACGTGATCTATGTATGTATGAGATGGACAATGGCGCAGTTCAGTGACATAACAAGAATGGATATTATTATGATTAATTCTGCCCATTAATAATTGATTACAACAATCATTATATATTACACCATGGCTCCAATCCAGATCTATAGTTTACTAAAATACCGTATCATTGAAAAAAAAACGGCGTCAAAGACGGCTGGGGAATGACAATCGATTATAATTTTGGCGAGGTCAATCTCTAAAGGTCGTTTACTAAAAATTGACGTAAAACATTAACACGCGTGTCAGTGATGACACGCATCCTCATAGTTTCTCCATTACTGGTCTTACTGGTCTAGATGTTTTACCAATATAAAATATCTCACATAAAATTATATTGCATAGTCTGTCCAACGACAAAATTTTTGACATTGATAGATGTGCCGTCATTTTAATTTCAAAGTAGTTTATTTTATTTTACAAAGAAATAAGTCGGTACAGTTGGAACGCATTAGCGATGGGCATTACGATTGTTTTTAGTGAATCGAATCACACGATTCGATTTCTCACATTGAATCGACTTCTACGATTCGTTCATTTGAACGAACACAATTATTGCACATTTGGTAGGACAATTATGTAAGGGTCCAGAAAAAGAAATATACAGTTTTTTCATTTGTTTTTCAAAACTTTATGACACTGACGTAATTGGATTGATTATTATTTTACCAATAATATTGAATTATCAATCCAATTTATATACTATTTATTAAGGATTTCTTAATACCAATTTAATATTTTTAGAGCCATATTTTAAAAAATTCCGATTTAATAATCATAATAAATAGTATATAATACCGCATGATGAAAAAAAAATGGCGTCCAGTTGGCTTGGAAATGAACATCGATGACATTGCCCATATAATTTTACATATAAAATGACAACGATCTTCATTTTATAACCATCGCTGACACCATTTTTTTTATCACATTCAGCAGAGGCCAACAATATTTATTTGGAGTGGCATAAAAGCACGATTTCGTCTTTTAGACATTTAATAGTCGGTAATATTATTTTAACAAAAATAATAACGTGAAAATTAAATACCTTACAGATACTCCCGTACTAAGCACAGGATAAATAAGTTTTTTTCTTGTTAAGAACTTTCTTATCCTTTGAATTTATTCACCCATGATGTTTGTTTAGGGCTTTTGTTCAACTCTAAATATTGGTGTCTGCATTTATTTCTATATTACCGTAGAAAGAGAGAGCGCCGTAGAAACGAACGATCGCATTGTGATTCGATTCAATTCTCACGATTCTTTTTTACGGGACATCGTTCAAATCTTATGGGTCCGTGCTGGCCACGATTCAATTGAATCAACCGTATTGCAAGCAATGAATCAATTCTCACGACTCTTTGAGCGCACGATCGCATTGTGATCCGATTCACGATTCTCACGATTCTTTTTTACGGCTTATTGTTCAAATGTGATCCGTGTTGGCCACGATTCAAGTTAACGAACCAAATTACAAGCAATGAATGGAATCCCACGATTCGTTTTTAATACTCGTTCAAATTAACGACTCGTTCAATCTTTGCCCTCCTCTAGAACACATAGCAGAAAATACAAAATATTTCATTAATAATAACACTTACTGAATTTTATATCTTAAAAGTTGGTTAACTAACTTTAATCTTAATTTTTTTAAACCAGTTTCTTTTGACATTATCTCTCTGTAGTACTAAAATTTATTATTTACCTATCGTGTGATGTTATTTTACAGATATTCCAGTTTTTGGTACCATATACGAGATGGTATACAAACTTTATTTGTAACTAATACAATTCTCTGGCAAACTGTGTCTCTGGGCACCGAATATTAACTGTAAACTATGGTGTAGGTCAACACTTAATTTTCCCTCCAGTTTTCCTACACTTAATTTTAAAAAAATACGAAAAACACGTAATAACACTGTCCAAAGTGCAAAATATTTATCATTTCTATTTTACATAATTTGACACAAAATTATAACCTATAATTTGGCAAGAGTTTGACAACTCTCAAAAATCTTAAGTCAAGTTCATACGCATCGGCGTCTGTTTGTCGTTCATCGTTCCGTCAAACCAATAATATTGAAATATAATCTGTCATTTTTGAAATAAACCAATAAAACTGGTTAAAAACAACAAGAGACTAAGTTATCAGATCCATAGTTAATTTAAAAAATATTAGATACTGAAATAAATGGATTGGTATGGACGGCATATGCTTTTTTTCTGTCATCGTCTGTCCAAATCTTACCTAAGAAAAAAAAAGAGTATAGGTTAAATTATTTCTTTGTTTAAAAAGTGAAGAACTTGGTTATTCACTGTGTACCGACTTTTAGACGTTACGTTAGCAGTTAAGGGTTAAAATAAGAGAGTTGGTATTATTCATTATTACGTGACACACTCTGTATAAATATTTTTTTATTATAACGTTTTATTGAATTTATTTTATTTGGCTAATATATAGGTACACTGTGTTTGCAAATTAAGAAGAAAAATGTGTTATTTACCTTTTACATACATACTTATATAATTAATTAGTACATTTTTGTGAATACAATGGTTGTGTTTTGTTTCAGGGTTTTTAAACTGTTGTTGACCCCGGATGAATCAGTTTTTGCCGATGATGTGGTGTTCGAGTCGACGGACAAAAGAAATTTCAAGTTTGACCATCGCATCACCTATACTGGAACTTTAGAGGGTAAGTAGATTACTGCAGTTTTTTTGTCGGTATTCAGAGTCCACTATTCACTGCCACTATATTTTTTCCAAACCAAACCAAACCAAAATCTTTTTTCCTTATTTTTTTCTCTGCATGCTTAAATTACGCAAGCTGCAGCCGCGAGAAGAACATCCCTTTTGCATACATATTGGAATGGACTAAACCAAAGACATTATAAAGATAGACCGAACATCTCATTCATAAATACTCGTTGGTAGTGTATCAAACATTCCAATGTGTCAAACAAGGACAGAAGAGACAGAGAAGTCTAAAATTTCCGACCCCGGCAACTAGGCGCATTTGGATTGTTCTAATGGCCAGTGGCGTATCGTTTTTTGGAACGAATTTAATTAGTAAAGTAAAAGTAAAGTAATTAGTAAAATTTTTACTCCGTATTAATAACTACATTAACACTTTTTCGTCAGATGAGTTTTGTTATAAGGTCTAATATAATAATACAATTAATATCCCACATATACTTATGTTGAAACGTTAGTAGTTTTCGAAAATCACCCAACGTCGATTTTCAATTTAAACTTTCAGTTACTTCTATATAAACTTTCAGTTACTTTTGAATATTTACAGGGTGACTCAGGCTTCCGAAACTGTTCTATATTAGGTTTGTGGTTGGTGACTTTTCTTTCAATTTTTTTTTCAGAATATGGAGGCATTTAGGCACATTTTAGACATTTTTGTAAACATAGGTAGGCCGGAACATATTTTCAAACCAAAGTTGTAGATTTGCCATTAAATTTCCATTCCAGAAATACCTAGGGTTGCCACTTGTCCTTTTTGGAATAGCTTGTCCTTTTGACTTTTTTTGACTTAAAAAGTCATTTTTATTTACGTATTTTCCCTGAGAAAATTACCTACAGCAAACAGAAATATTCTTTTCGCCCAAATTTAATTAGGAATGTTATAAAACTTAACTTATAAATATATTTTTCTTGTTTAGAATAGGCAACATTATTTAGAACTTCCCGTTTAATCTCAAATGATAGTTTAGGTTTTAGTTTTACCTTTTTTATCTTAAAAAACTTTTCAAAATTAGTACCTAATTAGTAACGATTTAGTTAGTTCGCAATCGATAGCTTCCTGTGAAGTACTGTGTAATAGTTGTTTAATCTTGTATTATTAATAACTTCGATATCAATCTAAATCAATATTTAATGAGAAAATTGTGTTTTTTTTAAATATAAGAAAAGATATGACTTTCGGTCTTCTTCTTGTATTATGATGGCTCTGATACGAAGCAATTGCCTTTTAGTCTCGCAATAGAAGGCATTTATCATTAAAAGTATAAAATCTGTGTGCTACAGTATGGGATTTCTGTCGCATAATAATGAATACCTATTACGTTTATTTACAAATCCATTACTTTTAAAGGTAGCTTCATCAGATAATCAAATTTTAGTTAAATGTCCTAATCTTCATGAACTGTATTAAGCATATGTATTGCGGTTTGAATCACCCTGTATGTTGACAAAAATATTTTGAAAATGTGCGTTACAATAGTCCCCATCTTATGTAAAAAATTGAAATAAAAATCACAAACCAAAAACGTAATAGGTAAAAAGCTTTTTTGGAGGCCTGGGTCACTCTCTATATAGGTATGTATAAAACTAGTAGCCTAAGAATTATCTACAGTTCGTCCCATTCTAAAAAAAGTTAAACACACCGTACAAATAACTCTAGGAAGATGTATTTGTACGGTGGTAAAACATTGTCTAAACAAGGCCGAAGGGGCAAATATAATAAAGCAATAAAATGTAAAAAAGGTCGGGTAAACATCTTTGTTTATTTATTGAGCAAAATTCCTTTAGAATATCGTATTAATGACCAAAATAGGATGCAATTTTAAGAAAAAAATGTCTGGCTTATAATAAAGTTTCAAATGTACCGTTTATATTCAAATTTGTTATGATCTACAACAGTTAGGTAGTAATTGAGACGAATTATAATTCAATTACCGGCTACTACGTTCTTGTTTTAATAGATCAAAATTCAACAAATATAATTAGAAATTATTTTAATTGTGAGAGGCTCCCTTGTGGGACGCCTATGTACGATTACGGCGCGGCGGAAACAATACCTACCTGTGAATAGACAAATTCGGGAAATTTGAGCTTATTTGTCCACACATTTGACACTGTCGTACCATATTGAAAATTCGCAGATTCAAAAGTACATTAAGCAAAAACAAGAACTACTGAAAAACACTGAAAAGTTCACTTCGGACTTGATTCCGACTTCAAACACACCGTAAGGTAAACGTATACGCTATAACGGACCAGGGGCCGTCGCGAGGGGTGGTGGGACGGACGGCTCATTTCATTCTGGAAGACTAGCAGCGACGTTGCCAATAGTTCTAGACGTTTCAGCACATTAAACAGTAAACATGTCCTTTAATAGTAACGCATATATCCTCTGTTTAATAACATATTATTACGCATGCTTCTTTAAAAATAAACTATTCATTTAATTAAGATATTGAGATTTATTGATATCCGGTGAAGGTTTTAAAGTCACCTTTTCTGCAAATCAGACTAAGTAGATAGGCGCAAATTTGATATGTGGCAATGTCGCATTCTCTATCTCAGTTGCTTTTTACAGTACGTAGTCAACCTCCGAATGTTTGATCGGGTTAAAATGCATAATGTGATATCTGTTCTTCCTAAATCTATGGACTAAACAATAAAAATGTTGCATCGGGCTTCGAATTTCCAACTTTTTGAATGTGGGCGTCCTAAAAGTTGTCAACAAGGTGCTGCAACATGTTGTTAAGTGAGGACGGGTCTTTAGGACATACCTTTATACGAACTCTTTTACTTATTTTTATCTGCAGGATATGCTGCCAAAGTTTTCGGAATACAGTTCGGACCACCCTGTAGAACAGAGTTGACATTTAAAATAACAATAAATGGCTAAAAAAATTGGTTTATTGGCTAAATTTCGATAAATTTTATACAAAAAAGTGGTTTCTTTTTAAATTTTACATAAATATGCCAATTTTCAGCCGTTTAGATGAAAATATTTTTCTAAGTTCATCTGTGAAACTCTGTAGAAAAAGTAAGTTATTGTTTAAATCCCAAAAAGAAATAAACGATAGTTTATTTTTCGAAGAAAAATCCAGTCGAGAAGTAAACGAAGAGAAGGAAATAAATTCTGCTAGCAAGTGTTCGATACGATTCTAATCTAAAAAGGACGGGGTTTCCCAAAGAATCCACGCCGAGTCTGAATCACAGGCCAATTATTTTTATTGCCTGGTCGTTCTCGATCTGGAGAACCCAGAAATTGAGAGAAAATAACGATAGGTATTGCTATATAGATGTAACGACGCTTTAAAAGAAACGATCAGAAAGTCGTAGAGTGTTTTAAGACTGATTTAGAGTATGTACCGAGTGTCTCAAAGTAGAGGCTAATCAGGGGGCTTTCGGAAATTATAAAAGATACGAAAATGACGTTAAAATTGCAAAGTTGTACAATTTTATGATTGTGAAAATGCCGTTTAGCAAGTTAGAAATATTAGGAATATTTCCGAAGGTATTTTGAAAAAAAAACGAAATATTGTAAAATCGTTTAAATTTTTCCTGGGTTTATTTTAGGGGAGATATTTTAAAATAAATGTCACTTCATCATTCTCACTTTTTCTCTTTATAAGTATTACTAGCGTGTACTCGCGACTTCGTTCGCGTTGAATTAATCATTTATAATGGTGATAATAAAGCAAAGCAAGAATTTCCATTATCATACGAACAGGATAAATTTTTCTCACATTTATGTCAGCATGAGAAAAAACAATATGGCGATATTATTATATAACTTGGTAATATTTGAGGGGTAGTTTCATCTCGTTGGAATTTGACTTTCGAAAAATCCGTTTGCCAAAAATAAGCTTTTTACGTCAAGCAGTTTAAGCAGAATCGTGGTTAATCAATTACCCAACTTTTTGGAACACCCTGTATGATTTTTTAAGAAATTTCAAAATATGTAAAAAAACAAAATAAAATTAGGCGTGTCCAAGCGTTTATTCGAAAGACTAACCGTTTTTCAAATAAAAAATATTCTAATATTTGAGGGGTGGTTTCAGCCCCTTAGACTTCGAGTTTCGAAAAATCCTTTCTTATCGAACCTCTACACCCTAAAGTCAATCGGTTTTCCAAAAATCAGCTTTTTACGTCGGAAATTTGACCGTTTTTTAAATAAAAAATATTGTAATATTTGAGGGGTGGTTTCACCCACTTGGAACTGGAATTTCGAAAAATCCCTTCTTATCGAACCTCTACACCCTAGCTAGAATCAACCTGTATGCCAAAAGTGAGCTTCTTACTTTGCGTGGTTTGAGCAGGATCGTGATTAATCAGTATGTCAGTCACTGAACGATTTTATAGGTATATTAGTATAGATTCTTCTGCAACTTTTAACCAAGGACATTTCTGAAACAAAAAGTGTAAATCTCAAAACCGGAACGGTTTTCTAAAGTACACCTTTATGACTACAACTAAGCAAAATAGACTTTTAAAAGTTTTTTTGAAAAAATTCTAAAGGGAGACATGGAAATTTTGTCAAAAATCAAAATGTCTCAGATTCCAACTAAAATATACCGATACCGATAGTTAATTTTTCGTGGTATCCACTGGCACAAATCGTTCTATGATGTCTCTCGTAGATGTTGACCAATTTGAAAAATTCTACAAACTAAATATTTTTTTCTTATAGAAGATGGCGCAATTCAATTAGAAATCTGACGTTTCGTTCCGGAGATGTAGAATGTAGAAAGTTTTGGAGGGGTGTTAATTACCGCGACCTTACAGAACTATTGTGTGTTCCCCATTCTTGACCTTGATAACGAGTTATAACTCATCATACAGTCTCAGGGATTTGACAAAAGCCAGTATCTGAGACGGCTCTACAGAGACCAGCTCTCCATCTCCGACATCAGCCGTACCAAAGTTTATGACACGAATTGTTGTTGTCTC